GCAAGGGAAGCCAGAGATATGGAAAATCCACCCAAATGACCCCAGAAGTGGTTTCTTTTTGTTAAATCTCTCTAAAAAGGTCAAATGTCACTTGTTTTGCATCAATCTTGATACAGGGTATATATGTTGTACTTTGGATTCCTAAAGCTTTTAGTCTACTAACCCATCATCCAAGGGTAGATTTCACTATAAGTAAAAAAGAATTTTTGGACGGACACTATAATTTACAGTTTTTTACGATGTAAAATCTGAATTTTCTTTAAAATAAAAAACATCTATATTGATTCTGACTTTTCTACATCCAACTCACAGGTTTATCATTACTTTGAGAAAAAAGATTATTAATTTAACCCTTTTAGAAGGGAAGATATGGTCATTTGTTCTGGGAATGTCATTTTCGAGCCTGAGACCTGAAAAACAGGCTATGGGCTTAACAGGTTAAGGTTTATAATTAAAAAACAAACCTTAATAGACTGCTAAAATGAGTAAAAGTCTGGGGAAAGCACCTGAATGACAGACAGTTGTGCAGTATTCCACAAAGGCGGTTAAACCCAAATAAAAAGTAATAGTATGATCTTTAGAATATCTAACAAAGGAAAACAATAAAATACAAATTGTAAAAACCCACGTATCTCCTCTATAAGAATAAACATACCAAATTATGAGGAAACAAAGTTTGAAATAAAGATACACAAGAGCTAGCGGTAGCGTTACTCCGTTCCACACAGGACGGTGAGGCGATTCTGTCAAGAGGGGAAATAAACAATGATGAGAATCAAAAGCATGTGCATACATCTCTCCCCTCATACATTGAATGTTGAGGTGAAACAGTTCCATAGTGACATTACATAAGGGATGAATATACCTTCAGCTGACGAATGCTCCTCAGAGCGGTTTCATCCAGCAGAGACAGATCCACAGAGTCCATCTGGCTGGCAAATAGCTGAACACTCTGCAGAGACACATCACATTACAGATCAGAAGTCATATATACAAAGAAAAACATTGGGTAGGGTTGTACGATTTGGAACAAATAACTGATTGTGATTATTTTGACTGATATTGCAGTTATGATTCACGATAGAGGGGATTAATCATTGTTGCATCATTATTCTCATCATCATTGAAAGATATATTTATAATGATCATGGTGTGATAAAAAGGATCTATCAAACAAACGTACTTTATTAGGTCTGTAAAATACGATTTTTAAGGCGGGGACATCTGTCCAGCACCAACATCTTTAGTTCAGAATAATATTGACACATATTTGAACGGTAACAAATATTGCCGACTTGCAATTATAATATTGTTTTTGTGTGTGTGCGTGTGCGTGTGCGTGTGCGTGTGCGTGTGTGTGTGTGTGAGAGAGAGAGAGAGTGACAAGAGCTATATTCAGAGCTCTGCTGCCTTGGCTACAATCTTTCATTGTTGCTGTTGTATGATTGGTGTTTAACTACCGTATTTAGCGTCTACAGCACCTCCGCTTTTAGGGTTGACGTAGACCCAAACGTCGCCCGGAGGTCCCCCGGTGTTGTTGCGGGAGCTGCTGCAGGCTCCGGCAAATTCTGGGTCCCAGTGCTTCTACTATAAGTCCACCCACTCCTTGGTACTGCTGGCTGTCGTGGATGCCCAGTACCTCTTCAGGGTAGTGGATGTCGGAGGCTTTGGAAGGAGCAGCGACAGTGGGAGCCTGCGGAATTCGGCATTTGGAGAGAGCCTCAGAGATGGCAGTCTGCAGCTACCACCTGACACCGTCATCCCAGGAGCAGAGCAGCTGGGCCTTCTTCCCCATGTGTTTGTAGGAGATGAGGCTTTTCCGCTGCTGGACAACCTGCTGCGTCCATTCCCTGGACGTCACCTCACCCGTGAAAGGAGGATGTTCAACTACCGCCTCAGCCGGGCCAGGTTGGTGGTTGAATGTGCGTTTGGCATCCTCTCATCCCAGTGGAGAATGTTCAGGCGTGTCATCACCACCAGCCCGGAGGTAACAGAGTTGTGTGTGAAGGCCACCTGTGTGTTGCACAACTTCCTCCGCAGGAAGACGATAGGAAGGACATCACGCACACCTCTTGCAGAGTCCACGGATGAAGCTACTCCAACCCTGTGTGATGCACCGAGGATGGGCTCCAACAATGCCACACGCAGATCCATCCAACTGCGGGAGACCTTCAGCTCCTATTTCAATGAGGAGGGTGCAGTGCCATGGCCAACCCTGTCTCCTAAAAATTACGTTGCCACAGAACTAAACTGCATTCTCAATTACGTTTAGCTGGAAACGTATTTTCTCCCACGTTACGTTTGTTATGAACGTATCTCAAATACGTTTATTTTCTACATATCTTCTAGAAACATATTTTCTCCCACATTACGTTTGTTATGAACGTATCTCAAATACGTTTATTTTCTACATATCTTCTAGAAACATATTTTCTCCCACGTTACGTTTGTTATGAACGTATCTCAAATACGTTTATTTTCTACATATCTTCTAGAAACATATTTTCTCCCACATTACGTTTGTTATGAACGTATCTCAAATTATTATTAATTTGGTTATTTTCTACATATCTTTGCCATTTATTGTCTTATATTGTCTTTATAATAGTCATTTATAAATATCATTTTAGAGCACACATTTGCAATCGACGATCGGGCTCGATATATGGTTAAATTAAAATCAGTAGGCGAGGGTGTAATTTCAACAGTCTCAAAGGCAATGTGAGCGTCCATTCCCATTGGATAACGGAGGATTTTACACCCGGAAGTAAGTATTCTCTTTACTGTCGATTGATTTTACAGTGATATCTGCACTACTCATCAACTCAAAAACACCAGATTATCCTTGTTAATTACACAACATTGATTGGTTTAAATTGTGTACAATACTTTTGTATTTTTCCCCTTCGATTCGGAGAAACAAATATTTTTTCGGAGTTTAGGATGGCAGAAGACACTACACTACCCAGAATCCTCAGCTATCGTTTGGGACTACACCATGTGCTTTGCTTGACAAACCCTGTGATTAGTTTTCAAGCGCTGTGATTGGATGTTGGAGTGGCAGTGCGCGAAGTTTACACCGAGCGTCAAACAGCAGTTTGAAATGGAATGAAACCCATCGACGGCACACTATTCAAAACAGGAATCGAACGTGTCCTAATTTTACAGGATATTGCTATACTATTTCTCATGTTTTACTTCTACACAATATCTGATTTGTAAAACATCACAGACAGAAAGGTATATCCGTCATTTAATGGTAAGCTATTGAAATTGTGATTCCATAGATGTGTCTCCCATCACCCAAATCCCCTGACTATTCTCTCAACTCAGTATTTACATTCTTATATTCAAAGAAAATCAGTAATATCTTTAAAAACTACAAGTCTTTTTCTATAAGCTGTGCACCGTTATGGTGTAAATATATCCTATCTACCAATTGGATCAAATATAAAAGTCAGCCGAATTACTATTGATACTGCAAGGAGACGTATTTTGTGAAAATAAATGTAAGATATTGTGTAATTTTTTATATATTTATGATCCACGTCACGTATTCAGTTTCGGCGGCACTTCTTCCTGTTTGTCCAGAAGTCTTCTCATCAGGGCTCTATAAATACAGAACTACGGCAGATGTGTAATATTTAATGCAGCCGAACCGTGTATTACAATGCCGTTATGTGATGACTTCCAAAGAGAAAAGCAAGAACACTCGGAATAAAGTATTTTATTTTAAAATGTTTTCGGATTTCACATCGCATAAACACCATCTCCCAACGTGCATTGCGACTAAAACATCCAATCAGCGAGCTGAGGATCTTTCCTACGTCTGTTTCCGGTATTGTTCCTGTAATGAGTTCACATTTATGCTACATTGAAGGGTGGAATTGACTACACATCTTCAGAAACATAATTTGCTTCAGATATACTGTAACTCATAGCAATATTGTAACCATTAAGAAAAGCCAACTGCATTAAAAACCCAGTTAACAAACATTAGGTAAAGTATTTTTCCTTCAGTAATGAAGATGTAATTCCAATGTAGACACACCTGGGGTCGCTGTTCAGTCTGTTACGCTGAGCCATGCATTGTCTGGAACGTAAAAGGGACGAAGAAGACAAAGTGAAGTGACGTACTTCCGGTTCCACATGAAAACATTCCCAGTGCAAAAACAAATCGCTAAATAAAAAGATAAAACACTGGCATGTAATTTACGTTAGAATAAATAGAATGGTTTTGAATAATAGATGAGAGTAAAATCCACGTCACTTTACAGCCCCACCCACTTTTGGGGAAACCAACGCTGTCATTTGAACGGCGATCAAGCCTGAAGCCACAGAGCTCTTCTGCTGTCCTTTCTTACAGAAACACGTAACTCTGGATTTGTTTTAATGTTTGAGGTGCAATAAACGACACAGCAGCTTTTTGGCATGTTAAAACTATTATTTTCTGCCTTGCTCATAAGAGTAACAGCTGGCGAAATTACAGCCTCGCCTACTGATTTTAATTTAACCATATATCGAGCCCAATCGTCGATTTCAAATGTGTGCTCTAAAATTATATTTATAAATGACTATTATCATTATTATCAGCAAGACAATAAATGGCAAAGATATGTAGAAAATAAACGTATTTAAGATACGTTCATAACAAACGTAACGTGGGAGAAAATATGTTTCTAGAAGATATGTAGAAAATAAACGTATTTGAGATACGTTCATAACAAACGTAACGTGGGAGAAAATATGTTTCTAGAAGATATGTAGAAAATAAACGTATTTGAGATACGTTCATAACAAACGTAACGTGGGAGAAAATACATTTCTTGCTAAACGTAATTGAGAATGCAGTTTAGTTCTGTGGGAACGTAATTTGTAGGAGACAGGGTTGCCATGGCAGGCGAATGTGGTGTAGGGTCACCATTGTCTCCAAACCAAAAGCTCTTTTAAGAGCTACCCATATTTTCTTTAAAAAACAATTATTCCAAATGAGCCATTTTAAAATCAAACATTCCTAATAAACATGTTTCTTGAATTGATATTATGATATGACTAACAACCTTTTTCCTTCAGTCCTGTTTTTAGTGATAAACCACTCATAATTACAACAGGTTTTCACCTGAACAATTACAGAAGACCGCACATTATATATCGACATACATGAAGCTTCTGGTATGTTGCAACTGACAAACCACATGAACAAGTCAAGACACAGTATAGCCATAACATACTTTAAATAACTTTTATTTATGTAATGTTGTGAGTGAAGTGTGTGATGAGTGTAAAAAGATGTAATGTGGATCAGTATCAGTATCAGTAATTAATTGTCCTCCTGGTCTGCCTCTAAAACCACCTTGTGGATGGCAAATCTGACTCGCAGCCTCTTCGCTCTCGACATCAGTCTCATGGTGGGCAAGAGACTCCTGAAGAACAACAGGTCCTCCTCCTCCTCCACCACCACTGGTGGGGGTGGTGGTGGTGGTGGTGGCATGGCCAGAATAGGACCGACGGCAGACAGCAAACTTTGCTCAAAGGAGGACATCTCCCTTGCCCTTTTCCTCCGGAACGCAACACTCGCCTCCTCCTGTCCTGTCTCCCCTGCCTCTGCTTGCTGGCTGTTAGCCCAGGGCTTATATCCCCCTGAAGACCCTGCACCGCTTCTTTTTGTCTCCTTCTCATTCCGTTTCTCCTTCCTGTACCTCAGTGTCTTCCACTTCTTTTTGCACACTTCCTCTAATAAAATGAAATGAAAGAATACAGTTAATTTCTTTAATTTACGAAAATTATTCCTCCATTAATGAAAACCAAATCCCTTTATCACTGTCAATTGCATAAAAGGTTTTACATGTCACACTTTATCAGAATCAAAATCAGAAACAGGTTAATTGCCAGGTAGGTTCGCACATACTAGGAATTTGACTTGATGTCATGGTGCATATATAAAAAACAAGAAATCTAATATAAAACACAAAATGTTTTACACCGTAATAAAATACAGTTAAGTTGCAATAAGATAACAATTAAATAAAAGCAGTAATTTACATGGAAATAGAATGCTATGAATGAATTTTTGCATATAAACTAAGAAATGTGAAATCAGAATATGTGCAGAAAGGAGTATGACATTGTGTGCATTAATGTGATGCATATAGTATATGATGTGTCAGCGGGGAGGGCTATGATGAACATTTCAGGGATGCAAACTCATCAGGTATGAAAAAGGTGACAAGGATCCGAGGCCCGAGCCTCCGCAATGGAGCGATCTTAAAGGGCCCATGTCATGGCCATTTCCACTGATCATAATTACATTGTTGAGGTATACTAAAATAGATTTATACTGTGCAATTTTCCAAACTCACATTGGTTTCGCATACAGCATCTCTGTCAAGCATGTGTATTCAGCAGTATTCACTTTCTCCACTAAACGACTCGTTGGAGCTCTTGCCCCCCCCCTCCCTGTGAGCCTAGTGTGCTCCGATTGGTCAGCTCGGCCACTCGTTCTGATTAGTCAACCACCAGAGAGGCTGCGCCCATGTCAGTGCTTTTCCCGGCTGCTCTCAGCGTATCAGTCTTATCATGGCGTCGGTACAGCGGTATATTTTATATACATATATATTTTTAACTGTTGTTATAGAAGAGTGTGACGGCCCCAGGGCCTTTGTCTTACGATGGGGTGGAGCTGAAGAGGCTAATCAGCACGATCACGGACACCTCGGCCCCAGTCTCTCTCCAAAGCGGCTGCAGGAAGACTAACTCTGCGATCCTCTCAACCACCTATCTCTGCATTTACCACAATAAATGTGCCGTGGTTTTGTAAACTCGTGTATGTCTCCTTGTCTTTGTGGCCTACGAGCCACTCTCATAACAAAGAGTAAGTTATTTTTACCCGTTATAAACTACTACTGTTTGATGAGAAATCAAATCATGGTTTGCTATATATGAATTCAGGGAAGAAAGGATAGGCCTACTAAGTATTTCCATTAAACTTTATTTTTAGAAATGTACAAAATGAACATAAATATACATATATACACACGGTATATCATTCATTCCTCCTCCTCGCATCTTGCCTGCGCACAGTCGGTGCGGTGCCTTTTAGCACGAGGCCTCAGTAGTAGTCGAAGTCCCTTCCCCGTCATGGATTGTCCGCCAGGATCTGGCTGGACGAAATCAAATGCAAATCACAAAATATTAGAGAAACTTAGTTGTTTTAGATTCGTTAGTAGTAGTTGTGTAATGAACAGCTTGCCTGCTAATATGCTAACCTAGCTTTGTTTACCTTGGTAGCTAACACGATATGAACGTTAGCTTGGAGGAAAGGCAACTATAATGCAGTGTAATAAAACTACTATGAACAAAAGCTAGTGGTTCATATTAGGCTAGCAATAACGTGTTTATAATTGCAATCGTATACGGGTATTCTGCTACCATACAATGTAACTTGCATGAATACATTGTTTTGCGCTAGCATACAGCTAGCCTCGTTAGCTACATGCAGTATATGTACGGTCACAATGTACGGTAAATCACAGTACAGTATACTGTATGAGTATTCCGTGTGTGTGACTGCAGACATTCTCCTGCCATGACAAACATGTAAGGCCATCTGCTGACATTGTAGTTGATATATTTAAACGCTAGCAACGTAGCATAGGGATGCATATCGTTGACTTTTTTACGATACCGATACCGATACCGATACCACTGAACGATACCGATACTCAACCGATACATATCGTGATACTTTCATGTTGCATAAGGGAAACCTTTTATCATCCCGCAATTACTCCCATGAAGTGCTTTATTATATAGTTAACATGTCAAATGAATATTAAATTCAATTGTGGGACTTGGACCTTTTAGTACTGAACAAACAATGAAAAACACGTTATCTATGAAGAAAACTGATTCTGCAATATCATTTATAACAACCATCAGGCGGGAATAGCACATCGTGTCAATGGAAAAATAAAATAGCACCAGTGTAATTAATATTCAACCTGAGATTCGACTGACCAGAGAACACATAAAGGATCATGAGATCTCGGCATTGCACATAAAACAAATAGCATCCTTAAAATCAACATTTGCCTGATGAAAGAAAACAAATCCCATCAGAGTTCAGTTTTGTGCATTCATCTTCAAGAAGATGAGCATATCTGCTCTCTGGATCCAAACGGGCCCTTTCACAGCGTAGGATATCACCTGCTAAACTGAACACTCTCTCGCTTGGCACGCTGCTTCCCTGAACACAAAGGTACTTGGTTGCCATACGAGACAGCATTGGTTGGAGATTGGATGTGTTGCCACCTTTCCCAGAAATAAACTTCTTGCAGTGGTTACAGACCCCACCATTCAGACTGGCAGTGGTTACAGACCCCACCATTCAGACTGGCAGTGGTTACAGACCCCACCATTCAGACTGGCAGTCATATATGCAGCCACACTTTAGATTTTCAAAAGTGACTTGGTTGTGGAGTTTCACTGCGAAATTGACATCGTAATTCCGACGGTTTGGGCACAAGTTTAAGGATATTATGCCTCACTTTTATAAAAAATAAATAAATAAATAAATAAAAAAAAAAAAAAAAAAATAAAAAAAAAAAGTATCGAAAACCGGATCTGATTTCGGTACGGTATACCGTAGCCACCAGTAACCGGTATTTCGGTAATACCGGGAACCGGTATGCATCCCTAACGTAGCATCACAAAAATGTTTTTCCGACCAAAACTAGCTCTAGCTCCGTGTGTTAGATCGCTACGCCAGTTATAATGTAATTACGTTTCGCGACTGACCGGCAAATCACCCGGAGTATACTGTCAATAGGTATTTTGTGTGTGAATGCAGACATTCTCCTGCTATGAGATACATGTATGCAAGGCCATCTGCTGATATTAGAGTTGATATATGGAAACTCTAGCAACTTAGTTAGCACAGTTAGCACTGTGTCAATGGCTTAGCAGTCCAACACAGTTTACACATTTAAACGGTCTTGTTTGATAAATACACAAATAACAATGCAAACTTACAGGTTGTGTACCCGGATCTTCCCCTGCTCCAAACGGTCCAAACAAGCTGTGCATATCCAGCCTCAAACTGGGCAATGTTTTGGAAGCTTTCGTCTGTGAAATGCCGGTTCTTCGAACCTCTGGAGGAGGAACACGCCGCTGCTGGTGTGGCCATAGCTCTTCGGGATTGGTCCATTTCGTTCCGGGTACCGCATGACATCAGGCGGTACCCGGAAGAATCAAATGGGCAGTGACGTATCTCCAATGAGGCGTTTTGGGGAGGTATTTTCTGTGTTAGAGTTTTACTCGCTACAGGGTGTACTTTGAGGGTTTTGACTCTGCACACCGTTTACATGCATAAAAACCTTCATAACACACAAGGGGACGGGTAATAACCGGAAAAGCATGACATGGGAGCTTTAAGTTTCACTTTCGATTGCATGATATAGCCCAGCGCAACACCTTCATCACACATGTTGCCACTTGTTTGTACCATTTTCAGGCGATTTGTAATCTGTTCTAGAAAAACGATGTGATTTTGGATAATTGTGGAGTTAGGTGGTCTGCGAGTGTTTTTTTATTGGTTAAGTGGTCCTTGGTATGTAAAAGTTTGAGAAACACTGATCTATATCTTGGATTAAATTGAATGTCGTTGAACCCAGATTACACTAGTGATGAGCTCTGGGATAACACTTTTTATTGTTTAATGTCTAAGTAGACATCTCATAAGTTATCATTCAATTTAACAATGTACACAAAATAAAGTGAGTCTCACTGAGGCTCTGTCCTGAAGCGTCTCGGTTCGACCAAGTGACATCTTGGTGTGGTTCATCCAGGCTGGTCGTATGGAGGGCCTTGAGCTTGTTCTGGGCGTATATTTTGTCCTGTTACAAACACAAACAAACACACAGTGAACAGTTGCTATTTTCATGTTAAAGGGGTCCTATTATGCTTATTTTTTCATGTTCATATTTGTATTTTGTGCCTCTGCTGTGACATGTCTCCATGCTTTAATGTTCAAAAAGGTCTTTATTTGTCTCATACTGCCTGTGCTGCAGCACCTCCCAGTCTGCTCTGATTGGTTAGCTGGCCGGCTCTGTTGTGATTGGTCAACCGCTTAGGTTAGTCCCGCCCATTAATTTACCACGTACAATGTGTTTGAGTGTTAGCCTATGGAATTGTATGCAGCTCCCTTTGGGAAGTTGAATTCATCATGCTGTTTTAATATGCAAAATGGTTTTATGATCTAGCAAGATTACAAAATATAAAGTTGAAAGAGATATTGTTACCATTCGAGCGAGCTTCAACTCTTCCTTAAGAGAACGAGCTTCCTGTCTGAGAAACTGCATTTCTGCCTCCCTCGCCCTCAGGATCACCTGAAACATACAGAACATGTTATAATTGATATGTTGTGTACAGTGTAATGGTATGGGAAATTAACAGACGTTTACATTTTGTACAGGTTGGATAAATGACAGATAACAATAAAACAAAACAGCTACTCAAGTTATGGATCAGTGAGGCTATACACAAAGCTCTTGTACCATTACACACAAATAAAAGTAATGTTAATCATTAAAGGTCCCATGTCATGCTTTTCCGGTTATTACCCGTCCCCTTGTGTGTTATGTAGCTTTTTCTGCATGTAAACCGTCTGCAGAGTCACAAACCCTCAAAGTACACCCTGTAGCGAGTACAACTCTAACACAGTCTATGCTGCCCCAAAACGCCTCGTTGGAGATTTCTCTTTTTCTTCCTGGGTACAGCGACGTGCCCATACCCAAATGGACCCATTGGTCCAAATGGACCAATCCGTGGAGCCGTTACGTTACGTTACGACTTCCTCACACACACACACACACACACTCAATCTTTTCTCAGCTGCAGCACAAACTCTCAGCCAGGCTGCGGGTGTGTGTGTGTTCGGGCTGGGTTTCGCTGTGTCTCGCTGTCTCGCAGACGGCCATTGCGCTCACAGGGGGGGGGGGGCAGGAGCTCCAACAAGCCGTTTAGGACAGAGAGTGAATACACATACTATACAGAGATGCTGTATGAGAAACCATGTGAGTTTGGAAAATTGCACAATATAAATCTATTCTAGTAGACCTCAACAATGGAATTATGATCAGTAGAAATGGCCATGACATGGGACCTATAAACACAAAAACAGAATCACTGCTTACTACTTCTTTTTTATGATTATGAATTGGGTGAAATAAAGGCTGTACTCTCTGTTTTCCAGACACTCACCTCCATTTCATAGAAGTCGTTGACTTGAGGGCCGACCTGGGACTGTTTCCCATTCAGTGAGAAATGTAGCTGAGACATTTCATCTGTCTCCCTCTGTAAGAAATGTCAGGAGACAGACGGTGAATATAACACATTCTCTCACTGTTTAAATGAGGATCTTAATGTAATAAAAACAAAGAATAAGGAGCTTCCCTTGGGGCTAAGAACATGTTGATACCTGTTTCTTTTTGAGCTCCTTGTTTTGTTTCTGGTACTGAATGGAGGACTGCCTCTCCTCCTGCAGCTCCTGGCTCAGCTGGGAGTGTTCCAGACATTTCTGAGTGTGCTGCCCCGACAACACCTCGAGCTCCTTATGCATCAACTGAAACTCCTTTCTGCAGAGGAAAACCAGAGGCATGATGTTGAACAGTAAAGTGACTATACATTCAGAACATCATCTTTTAAAGAAGTAGCAGGTAGATTTGGTTGAAATGGCCTTGTGTTACATTCTGAAATAGCTCTTGTGTTTGTCACTATGCAGGTATCAGCACCACGGACACAGGCTTGTTACAATACATCACTAAATACACCATGAACCAGTAGTGACATGTATGCTACTGTTTCTTAGGAGCTTAATTGTAAGAGAAATAACAAAAACGCAGTAAAAGGAAAAGCAGTCACTTACTCATATTCATTTTGCAGTTGAGTGATGTCAGCGCTCTCCTTGATGTGCTGAGACTGCCGGCTTTTCTCCAGCTCCACTTTATGGGCTCTTCTCATCGCTACAATAGCTGTAGAAAGAGGGGAAATGTGCATCAACCAGAGGTGGGAGAAGCACTCACATCTTGTACTTCATGAGCAAAAGTAGAAGTACCAGAGAGTAGGAATACTCTGTTACAATTAAAAAGTCCTGTATTCTAAATGTTACTCAAGTAAAAGTACACAAGTATAAGCATCAAAAGTACTTATTATGCAAATGTGTCCGTTTCAGAATACTATATATAATATGTTATATTATTATAATTGCTGATGCATTAAAGTGTTATCAAAGCTGGTAAAGGTGCAGCTAGTTTGAATGACGTTGTATACTGCAGCTTGTGAATGTTACTCCAGGTGTAACTTAAGTTGTATTGAAGAGTTCTTTACATTTCACATAATTAATCCAAATATGCAGAGTAACTAAAGGTACAAAATAAATGTAGTGGAGACGGCGGGACGCGGCGAGGCTGTGAGTCGGTGTGTGAGCACACACACAAACTCTCAGCCAGGCTGCGGGTGTGTGTGTGTGTGTGTTCGGGCTGGGTTTTTCTGCGTCTCGCTGTCTCGCAGATGGCCACTGGGCTCATAGGGAGGGGGGGGGGGGGCAGGAGCTCCAAGTTTTATTGAAGAGTTCTTTACATTTCACATAATTCATCCAAATATGCAGAGTAACTAAAGGTACAAAATAAATGTAGTGGAGTAAAAGTACACCATTTACATCTGAATTGTAGTGGAGTAGAAGTATGAAATGGAAATACTCAAGTAAAGTACAAGTATCTCAAAATTGTACAGCACTTGAGTAAATGTACTTAGTTACTTCCCAATGATCAACTAAACACTGTTACAACTTCTGCAAATGCTTCCGATATTAAAAAATAAAGAACCTTAAAGATTTAGCATTGACTCAACAGGCCCCAATGCTTTTCCTGTTGTTTGACTTCCTGCTGAAGACCCTCACCTGCCATGGTGGCGGCGGTCTCTTCCTGCAGCAGCTTGTCTTTCTGCTTCAGCAGCGCTGCCATCTCCGTCTGATGCTGCTTCTGCAGGTCTGAGATCAGCTGCCGGTGCATCTCCTCCATAGCAGCGAAGCCCTGATCACAGGTTGCCTGTATTTACATTGAGAAAAGGTTCAGTACTGATCATGTAGTACTTAGGTAATGTGTGTGCAGTAGTCGCGTGTGTGTGTGTGTGTTAAAACATAACTTGCTATACAGAGTGTGTGCGTGTGTGTGTGTGTGTGTGTGTGTGTTTCATACTCTTACTAAACTATTTTTTCAGCTGTGATTTGTTCATTTTGATTTCAATAAATATACAATAAAGAACTAATAGACCCAATAAATGTTATTTGTGTATGTGCAGCAACAAAGACGTACTGTATTGATGCATTGTTTAGTATTTAGAAGTTCTGTATTGATTATTTAGTCGAACATTTGTGAGATTATAATAGTGTAGAGAGGTTGTGTGTGTTAGTGTGTTTTTGGATTTGATACACTAAACCTCAGCATCTCAGCAACTTGTGTTTGTTTCCTGAAGTACGGTAATAGTGTGTGTTACCTCGTGTGTTTCTTTCAGGTAAGCCTCTTCTGACTCTGTGCAGAGTTTGCTCTGTTTCTCTTTGGAGGACTTGATGTAGTAGCCATGCAAGTTCTGCATCTCCTCTTCATGGATGTGTTGCAGCTCCCCGATCTTCTCTTGAAACCCACTTTCCAGATTTGCCATCCTTTCCTCGTGATATTCCTCGATTTTCTCGATGTCTTCCAGCAGCCTCCGGTTCCCAGTCTCAATAAATATGATCTTTTGCTCAGCACGCTCCAGTGTTTCTCTTAATGCGCTGTTGTCCTCCTGAAGCTGACATAAGGTGTGAGGAAAAGCCTCCTGCTCATCCTTTAATGTGCTGTCCTGCTCTTGGCACAGAGCTTGCCGTTTGTCCTGTAACACCTCGCTCCGCTGCCGCTCTAAATCCGAGTGCAGTCTGTCTGACAGATAAATCAACTTCGCCTGCTCCTGCATCCACCTGTGGTCAGCTGCAGAAGCATTTTCCCAGTTATCATCCACACCTCGCTCTACTCCACCGCCGTCAGAAACTTCCTGGCAGAGTTTGCGTAAGAATTTAGCTCTCCTTTGCAGCCGAGATATAAGTCTCTCTAACCACTCTGGTTCTTTCTCTTCCTTCCTTCCAGATTGATCTCTTTCAGGTGGCTTTGTGGCTCCTTCTGAACCTTTTCGCTGTCCCTGAACCTGCTGCTCATAAGGAGCCAACTCTGGGGGATTCACGTTTGCCAGACTCTTCTTTTGATGCTCAACTTTTGGATTATTTTCCTCGAGTAACGCTCTCGTGTTGCAGTTGAAATTTCAGGGCAGCATAAATGATCTCTGCTTCAGCACAGACTCTACCTATTGCCCTTTTTATAGGGTCCTTGTTGTCACATTCTGCTCTCCCAGAATACGTCCTTTTTAAGGCTATTCTTTGAGATATCATTATTTTGTACCTGTGTGCCAAATCACCCTCCTCCTCTCTTGGTGTTAGAGACATAACGCCAGGTTGACTCTGCAGGACGGACAACATTTCATCTACTAAAAGTACTTCCCTCATTAGACACTTTCCAACAGTTTCTATGTCCTCCTCTGAGGTAGACGTAGCACTGTTGTTCTCAGCTCCAGCTAAAGTCTCATCACTGAGGATCTTATCCCCTCCTTTGCAGGCGTTAAGTGATTCCTGCTGCAGTTTATCAGCATCCTTCTCTCCTTGCTGAATGCAAGAAGCAGCTGCGGCGAGTTGCTTGTCGAAGTCTGTGATGTTAACCGGAGCGGCTTGGAGCCTCCCTCTGCAGGCCTGTATGATGTTCAGTGCGATCTGAAACCTGCCGCCCAGCACCCTGCAGCGCCCCTCCGTCTCCTGGGCGAAGCGCCGGCTCTGCTTGGCCTGGCTGTGCAGCTGCAGACCGAGGTGCTGAGCGGTGGCTCGGCTCTGAGTCAGCTGAGAGCAGAGGTGGGGGTCCTGGCAGCCGATGTGACTCTGGTGCTCCTCCAGTCTCTGCATGATCTCCCTTAGCTTCTCCTCTGTCAAATAAAGCTTGGTTTCCAGGACCTGGATCACAGACATAAACCTTTCCGGGTCATCTCCTGCATGATCAACGTTGGGCCTGCGGTCATTTACAGGGAGAAGATCTGATCTCTCATTCTGCTGCTCTGAGGATGTATCGTTCCTCTGAGGAGAGCCACAGGTACATACCTTCAACTTCTCATTCAGCCTCACTTCTGTCTCCTCCAGGCTGTTCCCTAAGACTTCCATCTTCAGCAACACTTCAGTCAGCTCTTGCTCCTTCCTGTCCAGGAGTCTCTCGTAGCCTTCTCGTATCTCCTGTAGTTCACACTCCCTTTGCCGCTCCTTCCCTAAAGCCAGCTGCAGTTCCTCGCTAATTCTCTCGAACGAGTGCTCCAGATTGTAGTAGTGCGTCTCGTCTGTCTTCAAGCGGCTCTGCAGCCGGCTCACCTCTCCATCCGCCTCACCCAGCTGGCTCTGCAGCTCCTGGCAGCGCCGGTCCAGATGCTCCCTCTCGTCTTGGAGTTTCTGCACCACAGATACCGTGCACGCCAGCTCCTCCTGAAGCTGCTGTTGAGCCTCCTCAATGTCCCTGGTCCACGTCTGAGTCTTATTCAGGCTGTCCACCTCCAGCTCAGACATGTCCAGTCTCCTCTGGAGTTCCTGTGTGAGTTGCTCTGCCTGTGCCAGGCTTGAGGCTAAGCTCCTGCGCTCTCGGTCCTGACTGGCTTGAAGGAGCATGAGGTGCTCCTGCAGGCGAGCCTCTTTCTGAGCCTGCCCCTCCTCATTGGCCTGAAGTTGAGTGGTCACCTCTTGGAGATGTGTGTGTGTAGGCGCTGAGCCTCCTGCTCCAGACTGTGGTAACTCTGCAACTCCTGCTGCAGCTGTGTGGAGCGCGACACGGCCTCCTTCCTCTGCTCCTCACTGGCACTCAGCTGGGACTTCAGCGAGGCCCTGCAGCGCTCCCACTCCTGCCACTGCTCCATGAACTGCTGCCGGTCCAGCTCCAGGCGGGCCTGAGCGAGGGCAGTGGCATCGCCCGTGACCAGTAACTGAGCTTGTTGAGCTAAGAGGTCCACCCTTCGCCGCAGTTCTACTTCTCTTGTTTCTTCAAAGCTGCTCTTCTGATCCTCCAGCTCAAGGCGCAGGTCGTGGTTCATCTTATGAAGACGCTGTAAAACCAAAGCTTGTTCTGGAGACGAGTTGGAGTTTGAGAGGAGGTCGTTCTACGGAAAACAGTGAGCAGTATTAGCGCAAACTGTGCTTTCATGCTTATGTTTTAATACAGGACAAGCAACTTAACTTTTAGGTTTTAACTTTCAAATATCTAACATCCTAGTTTTCCTTTTATACAGTTTGTGTGTTTTCGCAATATGGCAAATTACATTAGTGCATGCCCTACAAACGTACTAGTGTTACTTAAAGTGATAACGTATGAATGTTATACCATTTCACTTGCATGCCTCGCTCTCTCTTGTTGCACCTCATCCCGCAGATTCCTGTTTAACTGCCGCAGTCGAGAGAGTTCCCTCTGTGTTTGCTCCAGCTGTAGAGAACATATTAAGAAAGCTGTCACACTAACCAGCATGCTTTTATTTATTCAGGCGAACATGCTTCAAGCTATTGTTTTTTTTACACACATACTCATTATTCATATATAAAGGGTAACTATTGTAGTTTTTATCATAGGTTTTTATTTAGAATATCACCTCTATGACAAGTGGCCCAGTTTGCTGCTTCTCCTTCTCCTTTGTGCTCTCAGTATTTGACTGCATTGTTGTGGAAGTAGAGCCGGCTCTTCCCTCAACACACGAAGACGCACCGGTCACACCTGAGGTTCAGAAAATGTAGTACTTTTGATATAAAATTAAACAATATGAAGTAGTTTTGTATAATATATTGGGGTAAATTGAATCATCGGCCAATAAAGGAACATTTATATGAATATGTGTTATTATTATATACTTTAAGATATATATATTTATTATTACAAATTGTAGCAGATAGAGTATCGGGCAAATTGCCATCATTGACTCCAATAGATTATAATCCAACACTCAAGTAGAGAAAAATGTATTAATTATTTACAATAAAAGTTTAATTGTATCTACTTTACTAGAAAATATATATTTGTATTATAATAATGAAGACTGGAAACACCTATAACGTCTAAATGTACATGATTATGTGTTATAACGATGATGAAATAGTAGCCAATATTGTCCAAATTGCTGTCATTGACTTAACAGCAACAGCACGACAAGCTTTTTGTATGAACTTGACTAGAAAAAATATGAATATAAACGTAGAGGGGAAGCACCCTTTACCTTCCACCACCTGCCCAGGAGGACTGATGGGAGACGGAGCGGAGGAGGCGGAGGGTGAGATGGGGGAGGCCAGATGAGAGGAGGAGATGGCAGGCGATGCAGAGCTTCCATCAGCAGAACGCCGCTCTGCCTCCGGCTGCAGGCTGGGCTCCTGGTGTTTCTGCTGCTCGTGCGTTTCCTCTGCACAGTCACTGCTGCTGGGCTCGTGGTGTTCAGCTCTCTCCGGGCCCTCGGCTGAGTCTGGAAGCTGTGCTTTTAGGGGAGTTTTCTGCTCTGAAAAGGAGCTGTGAGGAATAACAATGAAATATGTTTTGACTATGTATGTCATATGCACCAACGTCTATAAAATATCTTGAAATGAGTAAAGGTGGAGACACTTTAACAACTTTATTGACCTTGTGACGTCAGAGGTAGGACTGTGCCTCACATTTTTCAGCATTGCTTGGATCCAGTTGTGCCGCATAGAGGTCATGGCACAAAGTGTGTGCACCCCATCTATCGTCTGTGGAAAGAGAAATATCATTTATTACACACCTTAACGTTGAGGTAGTGGATATGTTAGCTTTTCCAGTTGAATGTTTGTGTTATGTTTTATTAATTTATCACAGTTTATCTAAACACTAAGGAGTAAACATTGATTTACCCTCAATATTTACTCCTGCTACTCAGCTCCCTTTACTCAAGCATCCAACGTGAGTTTTCATAATTTTGATGTTAAGAAGACTTAGATAGCATAGATAGACTGTAGTACATGTGTAGAGGGTTCGTTCCCTACTGGTACATTCAATAAGAAAACAATACAATACAACAAGTAAGAAAGCAGAAATATTGGCAGTCTTGTATGAGGTTTCGTAAGAACAGTTACTTTAAGGTATTCATAATGACACATTACCTGTTTCTTTACTTTGTTGCAGGTATGATGACATGCAGAGGAGGGAGACTCCTGAAGCTCAGAGGAGCTGCTTGTTTTCATTTGCTCCTCCTCATCCCCATCGAACTGATCCTCCTCATCCCTTTAAGGATGGACACATAAACAGAAAGGATCGACAAGCCCAGCAATTTTACATAATTCAAAATATAGCACAACAGCAGCATTTCATAACGCAACAACAAAAAAGAAAACCTCGCGTTATCTGAGTTCTTTAAAACAACAAACCTGAGCTGCTCCTCAGAATAAGACAGCGGTTTCTGTGCTGCAGTTGGTCCTTGTTTAACTGCATGCTCTGAATCTATTTCAGAGACAAAAGCTGTAAGTCATACTTTGTCAGAAGCTCCTTTAGTTATATTTATCCATTCTTATTTCTAAGAAAAACAATTAATCAACTACTTTGCTGTGGTGCTTAAGAAAAAAACATGAAAAGAGTGATAAAAAAAAGAGCAACCACATTTAGATTTGTATACAAACATAGATGGACTTTGAAATAACTTCATTTGGATGCATATGCTGTCAAACATACCGTCTCCCGCGGGTGTTTGGTCGAGCCTGTTGAGAGAGCGGCTGCTTCTCATGAAGGGAGCGGCAGAGAGAGAGGAGCTCTGGAGGGACGAGAAGCTCCGGCTGCTGCAGAGGCGCAGAGCCTGTCTGCCGGGGCGATACGCCGCTCGGGGCCCCTGGTGGACCACGCTGCCTCTCTTCAAACCAACACCAGCTTTATTAGCACCAGCCTTATTATCACTGGCCGTCGTCTCACTACCTCTGGTGCCCAGGCTGTTGCTCCTTCCATAAGTAACGCTGGTTTTGCTGGCAGCGTGTTTACCTCCACTGGACGCAGGAACAGCAGCAGGTTCCTTTGGGAGAGAGAAAATAGGCTGAACAGTGTTTCAAGTTTAAAGGTTTTATTGTCATATGCACATTAGCTACAGTGTAGATATGGCAATGAAAAACTGAAGTCCCAGGCACCCCCAACAGTGCAACCTGTGACTTAAGTTGTTCATGGTCTGAGTAGATACATCATAAATAAGACAGGATTGTAGGTGTAAAGTTCTGTATGTTTTTTGAGGATGCTCATATTTAAATATCACTGCACCTCCTGTTAATCCCGATTCCAAACTTGGCCTCTTTGACACAAACAATCCAATCACCATGTGAGACAACCTTTTAATCCTCAAAAGAGCTCTTAATTTGCTTAAGTACCATCTGACCGACACTGTGATCATGGACAAACACACACTTGAACTTAATCACACTCGAGCGTTGGAAAGCTATTGGAGACAGGCGGTTTATTCCGGTCTCTAGCGATGCAGCCTCACCAACTGCAGAGGCAATCAATCTGCGGCCGGATCACTAGACAGCGAAATCAATTAGAGGAGGCTCCAAGAGTCCTGACTTAGCGACTTGTGCAGGTCGTAAAAGCACTGACTTGACCTTCGGACATTAATGGCTGCATTAATGAAATGAAACGCACGTGTAGCAAAAACATGCACCTACTCTGAGGAAAATGGTGTCTTCTGTGTTTAGTGAACAACACAGATATGGTGATGTAGTCCAAACATTTTAAAACATATTGCATACAGTTGGCATTAGCTTTAGTGCTGGAGTAGTGGGGAGTTGTACAGTAAGATGATAGGCAAATATCTCATCTCACTCACCTGTGTGCATATTTGTATGTCTTCACTGATGCAAAAACCAGGATAACATAGGTTAAGCATATGTGTCAAATTAAGCAGGCTTTTTTATTTCACAAAATGAAACAAGCGCTGCTTTGTTGCAAGTTAGGAACTGGGAAAGATAGGATCATTTAACCATGATCCAACTCGTCCCTTTTTAACTGGAAGAATAAAAAAGAATGAAACGGTAAAGTAAGAAATATTTGAAAGGTCACATGTTGCCTAATCGTCATGACGCTTCATATCCATCAGAAAAGGTGATGAGTCTGAAATGTGCAAGACAATAAAACTCTTGGTAAAGGTCATCCTACAACTCTCAGTGTTTTAAGGGAGTGGGATACTTACCTTCCCCCCTGGCTTCGGTGCAGGTTATTTGGGCTTAGAGTTAACCAGGGAGTCATGCCACCTGTTAAAGATAAGATTAAGACAGTAAAGCATAAATTGTCCTGTCACCCTGCACTTCCATTAAACAATTATTAAGTGGGCGTCACAATGTTATTCATATATTTAATTTGACAGTAAAGAGGTATACATTAAAAGAAAGCATTGGAGGTTATGATCGTTTTGTGTGGCCCAAGTTAATGAAAATAGGTTTCCGTTGGCAAACATCTGTCACTGAAGATTGTTAAAAGGTAGAATCTGTCACAAGTATTTAAGTGCAGTTTCGACAAATACAGAGAGGTATAAATTATGAGCCAATAATTAAGATAAAGTGAAGTATATGATCGTTTCTGTGCGTGTTTTGTTTACCGAATGCAATACATACTGCACTATTAAAAAATGAAATGTCAATTAGTAATGGTGGTCATTTTACTGTGGCA